CACCAGAATAGCATTACATTTAATAAATTTATTTACTCACTGCTGGATAATTATGTACATGATAAAACATTTAAACTGCACAGATGGGGAGAAAGTTAAAAGCAAGTCTCCCTCACATCACTGACCCTTAGTTCCCCAGTTCTCCCCATATTCATCCACAATCAAGTACCCTTGTATATCCTTCCAGAACTGTCCCATGCACATATAAAAATATGCTTACATAGTCCATATACATACACACATACCTGTTTATCTTTTCGAAAATGTAAAAGATAGTATAACATCAACACTGTTTGCATGAATCATAGGCATTTAAAGCTTATCCTCTGCTAATTAACTTGCATTGTAGGATAACTTTCATTTCATAGAAGTCATTACTCTGGAAACCCATGGCAGGAGGTCTGGTGCAGTCTTCTGAAGAAAAAGGAAAAATATTTTCCCAGTAGCAATATACCTAATTTCTGTCTGTCACCGAGCCTAGAGGCTAAGGGGATGGGGGAAGATGGGTAAGGCAGGGCAATAAGGAAAATATGCTAAAAATGAAAGACTGATTTTCAATTTTTATTTCTTTTTACATATATTTCAGTCATTTTTGGCGCAAATCCCTAAGGACTCTTGAACCTGGATTTTATTTGATGTCTTCGTTTTGGCCGTCTCTTCCTTCAGGAATAGATGCTGCATATGAAGTTACTAGCAGGGATATCGTTTTCATTTTTAAACGTAATTATTACATAATAATTTCTTTAACTTGTTGAAATAAGTCTTCTCACAGGGTTGAAATAAAGCCTGCTCCATAATTTAAACAGGACTTAAATTTTCTCTATTGTGACAAATTTTGTCTAATTTGTTACTCTAAGGTAATGAAGAAATAACAAACTGGTATTGTTTTATTTATATTTTCCAGATGGTAAAGTGAACACAGAAATATAAATTGCCCAGAATTGTATATTCCCTCATTTGATCGGTGTTCATTCACTCAAGGGGCAAATTTTTGTTAAACACCCCGTTTGAGCTGGTGACTCCATCTCAAATTCTGGTTTCCTTTTTACTATAAAATCAATGGTGCTGAAAAGTATTTCTAAATCCCAAATGCTTAATTAACTGTTACAAATTCACTGTGACTCTGAATTATTTTTTTTTTAACAGGAAACCAGTTCTGGGCCATCAGAGGAAATGAGGTACAAGCAGGTTACCCTAGAGACATCCAATCCCTAGGGTTTCCTCTAGCAGTAAGGAAAATAGATGCAGCCCTTTATGATAAGGAAAAGAAGAAAACATACTTCTTTGTGGAGGACAAATACTGGAGGTAAGATGTGACTGGAATGACTTTGTATGGAGCCTACTTAGCAAAATTATTTTCTTTCTCTAAGGAAATTCCCTGCCTTACTCGTAGTTCTGCTTCCTTCTCAGTAGGAAGGATAGGGCTTCGGACAACTGTGGAGGAAGTGCTTACTTTA